CCACCAAACCTCACAGCCAGCCCAAACATCTGCGTGGTCGTGGCCAACTCAAGAGACAGGTCAAGACCCCTTCTGAGCCCTGCTGTGCTGCTCCTCAGCTCCTGCCTGGAAGGTGGAGGATGGGACAGAGGGCAGAGCCCACCTCTTGGAGGAGTTCACGAAGCCTCAAGGCTTTGGGGAGGGCTCCTCAGAAGAGGAAGAAGTCACCTCAGGAGGGAGGAGCTGCCCGTGCTGCAGAGCAGGACCTGGCTGTGGGCCAAAGAGGAGGCAGAAGGAGCTGGGTGCTCACCACCAGGCGGATGTCCTTGATCTCCCCGATGCCCACGTTGATGCCCTTCCTCTCGTTGACGGGCAGGCGGATGTTGATCAGGTAGTACTTGTGGGCCACGCTGCCAATCTCCATGAAGGGCAGGAAGTCGCAGTCGTAGTGACGTCCTTCTGACTCCAGGGTCTGGGGGAAAGGGCACAGAGAAGCCACCGTGGCCACCAGCTTCGGATGGACCTGCACACCCTCCACGGGGAGGGGCTGCAAAACCTCCAGAGCTGGCACCCGAAAGCCCCTTCGCCAACTCCAACCTTCCCCTGGGGAGAGCTCGTGCAGGGCAGGGGATGGGGGATGTTGTCCCTCAAGCTAATGGTTGATTTGGGTCATTGAGTCATCGCAGAAGGGGTTGGGTTGGGAAGGACCTTGAAGGTCATCTTGTTCCAACCCCCCTGCCACGGGCAGGGACACCTCCCACTAGAGCAGGTTGCTCCAAGCCCCATCCAAGCTGGTCTTGAACACCTCCAGGGATGGAGCATCCACAGCTTCCCTGGGCCAGGGTCTCACCAGCCTCACAGGGAAGAACTTCTGCCTCATTTCTCATCTAAATCTCCCCTCTGTCAGTTTGAAGCCATCACCCCTCATCCTGTCACTACAAGCCTTTTGACCAAACTCCCTCCCCAGCTTTCTTGTAGGCCCCCTTCAGATGCTGGAAGGTGGCAAGAAGGTCTCCCCAGAGCCTTCTCCTCTCCAGGTTGAACAACCCCAACTCTCTCATCCTGCCAAAAGTATTTGACCTCCAGCAGATACTAGAAGTCAAGGCAGCCCTCCAAGATGAAGGACTACTTCAGGATCCAAGCTTCCTCCTCAGCAAGCAGAACTTGAGCCAAACAAAATACACAAGCCCCTCACATGTCCCAGTGTGGAGCTTCTGAAGTCCTGTTTGCCTGCCAACAGTCCCCTCTGCAGGGGCTGCATGGAGGAGCAGAGGTGTTGCTGGAGACCTGGGTGGGTTGCTGAAAGGAGCTGTGAAATGAGGACCAAGACAGAGCTGGAAAACATGACATGGGAGAGAGACCCCTGATGAATTTAGGCACAGGGCTTACAGTCTGCAGCTCACAAAACCATTTCTGCTCTCTTCTCCACTGCTGGCTGTGCTCATCCTCCTAAGCTTTGGAGCTTGAGGCATTGGGAGTTGTTTTAAGAAGCTTTGGTCCCACCTCTCTGGGTTCTTTTGAGTGCTGCAGCATCCCTGCTGGGCCACCTCCCAGAGTAGGATCACAGAATCATTCTGGTTGGAAGGGATCTTCAAGATCCTGAGTCCAACCATTAACCCCAGCCCTGCCAGGTCCCCACTGCCCCGTGTCCCTCACCCCACATCTCCAGGGCTTGGAAACCCCTCCAGGGGTGGGGACTCCACCACTGCCCTGGGCAGCCTGGCTCCTCACCCCTCCTGAAGGACAAGGTTTTGTCCATCCCAGAAGCACAAGGTGCAAAGGTCCAAGTTCTCCAGTCTAGTTTGGGGTATAGAGCCCTCAAAGCATTCGAGTTCCAGACAACACCTCTGCAACACCTCACACCTTTTCTTCCTTACAGTTTTAAACCTACCTCCCACTTCACCTCCTTCTCTTCCACCACTAAACAGAACCAAGACCATGTGAAGCCAAGAGCTTCTAGGGAGCGCCAGGAAGGAATTGGACAAGTCCCACCCCATCCCCAACATCTCCCCACCTCCAGCACCATCAAAACATCTTACTTTTGGTGTGCCAAAGGTGCATTTCAGCTTCCTGATCTCTATTGCATGTGCAATTTCTTCCCACTCATCAAACGTGTTGTCACGGTAGGCTAAGGACACGTCCAGGGTGATCTCTGCGTTGTCTTCTGCAAGAGCAAGGAGACATCAGGCTTGGGAGAGGGGACAGGACAGCAGGAGGTCAGAGATGGGAGAGGTTCTGCACACTGAAAGGTGCACAGCCATGAAGGGGAAGGGAAGTTGTTGCATTCCAAACGACACAGATCCAACTACCTGCTTCAAAACCTTTATCTGCTCAGAGAAGAATTTTTTGCCAGTCATGAAGTTCTGAGAACTTCCCAATATATGATGACTTCCAGCTTGGGCTACAGTTGTGGGTGAAGAGTATTATTTATTCACACAGCAGCAGAAACAAGAATTCATGTCAAACTGGAACCTAGACAGCTGCAGAGGCAGTGAAGCCACGAGGGAACCCAGCAGCCTCTTCCCCACAGGGTGGTGGAGGGACAACAGGACCAGCTTCCACGTGGACTTTCTGCACATAAAGCAACAAGCTCTTCTACTTCAGAAACAACCACACAAAGGACTGGCTCAAAATCCACCCTGAAGGAGCATTTAGTTATAAAGAACCAGGAGAAAGGGTCAAGAATACAACTGTGCATGGTTGGATGAATGGTGTAAAGGAGACACCACGCAACCAATGGTGCATTTCATTCATTGAAGGCATCCCAGAAGTCATCTAACAATACAACCTGAAGCTTCTTAGGGCTGGAGTCTCACCATCCATGAACAATATCTTGAATAAGAAGGTTTAGAATGTGCCCCTTAAAGATAGGCTCTAAGAGAGAGATGCTAAATGCAACAAAAAGGGTCTCAGAGGACTTTGGGTGGGATGGGAAGGGAGGAAGCAGGAGAAGGCACTGCTGGGAATAGTCCAACTGCACCACTAAAAGGCACAAATCGCTTTGAAATTGCCCCAAAATAGGATCCTCTGTTCCCAAACACCACGTGAAGCTTCTTTATAAAGAAAATGAAATGAAATTGAAGTTTAGCTGTGCTGCCCTTGGTGGAAATCCCCTCAGGAATGGCTGGAAGAGACTTCTCTAGGTGCCCTGACTGAGCAGGTTCATGAAATCCAGAGTTACAGCTGAAGGCTGACAAGCAGCAACATGCAACCGTGCTGGAAGAACCTGAGGTGAGGCTGGGCAAGCTCCAGCAGATGTCAAACCCTCCAGCTCAACAGGCACAGGGCCAAGGGAAGGCTCTGGAAGAGGAAGAGTTCTGAACCGAGCAGGTCTGTGCTGCAACCCAGCCTCTGGTCACAGACCACCAGGCTATGAGAGCTGCAGCTGCTGGAAAAGCCCTGGGAGATGCCTACAGGGCCCTCTGCTGTAGAGAAGCACTGGAAGATGGCTCCTGGGTTCCAGTTGGTGCCCGTTGCCCCTTGTCCTGTCCCTGGGCACCACTGACCAGAGTCTGGCCCCAGCCTCTTGCCCCCCGGGGGCCCTTTAGCTCTTGCTCAGCACTGCTCAGATCCCCTCTGAGGCTTCTCTTCTCCAGCTCAGCAGCCCCAGGGCTCTCAGCCTGGCCTGGCACAGAGATGCTCCAGCCCCTCAGCATCTCCACAGCCTCTGCTGGACTCTCTCCAGTAGCTCCTTGTCTCTCCTGAGCTGGGGAGCCCAGCACTGTATTCAGTATTCCAGAGGTGGCCTCCCTAGGGCAGAGTAGAAGGGGAGGAGAACCTCCTTTGGCCTGCTGGTCACACTTTTCCTTCATCCACTCCAGGAGACCATTGGCCTCCTTGGCCACCAGGGTCCATCACTGGCTCATAGGCAACTTGTTGTCCCCCAGCCCTCCCAGTTCCTTCTCTGCAGAGCTGCTTCCCTCCCTCTCCTGGTGCAGGGGGTTACCCCTCCCCAGGAGCAGGACCCTGCCCTTGCCCTTGTTGGACTTGAGGAGGTTCCTTCCACCAGAGCTGCTGCTCCACCAAGAAACACGAGTCCTTCAAGCCTTGTGTGTCCCATCTATTTGTCATCTTTGCCAGTTGTATTTTTGGTGGGACTGTGTGGTGGCACGTTCATCCAAAACAATGGGATGGGATCTGTGGTTTAAGGCTTCCTATTTATGCAGGGGTTGGAGGTGGCTCCATTATGCATCTGATGTGGATGGATCAAGACTCCTCTAGTGAACTAGAGCACCCAGCTCCTGGCCCCAGCAGCCATCAGTTGGTAAATTCATGTTTCATGGAAACCCACCTCAGATGTGCTATTTAGAAGACCAGCAAAACAGATAAATGGGAACAAAAGGACAAGCTTGGCCTGGCTAGAAAGAACTCCAAACTTCATTTCAGAAGCCATAAAACCAACTGGAATGTTTGGGATGAAATCCAACAAAACCAGCTCTCCTTATTTCATCTTTGCAATCCCAAATGTTGCTATCACCATCAAGTATGAGAACCAGAAGATGTGCTGAGTGTGGGTCTGTCCAGGCCAGCAGAGCAGCATCTCCCTCAGCTTCCATCCATCTCTGGACATCTCCCATCAGGACAGTGTTTTGTACAATGACCCTTCAAGCCTGTCAACAAAAAATGCTGAATTTTAAGAAGATTTGGGACTTATTCACCAAAACATCAGGTGGTGAGCAGATGATTTGGGGGGTGGTGCCCTTTTCATGCACAGCATTACTGCTCCTCCTGAAGGCCTCCAAGTACCAAGGGCAGGCACACAAGCAGGAGGGGAAGGAGGAGAGAAGCTGCAGCTGATGTTCCACCCCACTTGGCTTCAAGATGAAAGAAAGGTGCTTTAAAAACAACAACAGTGTTCTCTGCCATCAAAGCAGCAGATGGGAGGAGTGAACTGGAGGCAGGAGAATGAGTCAAGCCAGTTTTGGCTTCTGGAAGTGCTGAGAGGGAGCAGAGGGTTTGGATTTTTCAAGGCTGCAAGGAACAAAGAGAAACAGCCACTGCAAACCTGTGCTCAGCTTCCCAGATGCTAATGGCTTTAAGGAAAGCAATTATTCAGCTCCTCCAAATGTTAATCAAGATTCCTCAGAATTTTCCAACAATAAAAGGTAGAAATAAGTAGATAAATTTCTGTCTTATTACCAAGACATGAAATTGCCCATGCCAGGGAAATTCATCTCATGAGGCCCATGTCAGAGCAGCTCTTCATGGGATGCTCCAGTTTAACCTCACCCACACAGATTTTGGAGATGATGTGTGGATAATTTGGAGCCTGGTAAATCCCTTCTGGTATCAGCAGCTCAAGCACTGAGTGACAACCTCACTGGTGTCACAGGATTCTAGTTAAGACCCTACAGAAACAAGGCAGGTTTGTTTAGGTGACAACATGTTCAGAGAGTCCCAGCAGGGTGGGGTTGGAAGGGACCTCTGGAGATCATCTCATCCCACCCCCTGCTCCAGCAGCTCACCCACAGCAGGGTGCCCAGGAGGGTGCCCAGGAGGGTTTGGAATCTCTCCAGAGAAGGCAACTGGGATGCAGGGATGACCAACCAGAAGACACACTCCTGCTGCTGAGGTCCTCAGCTTGGACTCCCCTTTCTCAGGGCTATCAGATGCTCCAAAGAAGGTCAGAGGCATGAGCCCCTACAAGGGACTCCCCTGGTCCTCACCATGCTCAGAGCACCACTCATTTATTCCCTCCCATCGGTGTTTCACTGGCAGACATCCAGTGGCCAGGATCTCCTCCCTGACTCATTTTTGAGTGCAATATTAGCAGAGGACATCTCCAGAGCCATTAGAAAAGGCTAAAAATAGAGAAGCTGTTGCAGGAGCCGGCGCTGCGCCAGCCCCACGCTGGGAAGAGCTGTCTGGAAAGCAGAGCAGGCAGCAGACAGGAGGGACACCAGAGTTATTTGTGTTACACTTCCATACTTCACTCACTCCCTGAAATGACAAAAACTACTGAAGACACCAAAACTGGATGAATTTGAAGAGGAATCTGCAGTGCACAGCCACGCAGTCGTTGGCCAGCTGCAAAGAAACCTGAAGCTTTTCTCACTAACATTCAGTTCAGCAGCTATAAAATAAGAAGAAAAGAGGTTTTTTTTTAGACTGAAAAATTCTAAAGGTTCCTCCACCCTGTTCCACCATCTGACAACTCGAGGTGTCGTTATCCAACACCCAGCACAGGGCAGCCCCCACTCTGTACTCCTCAAGGACACTGTGCTGGCCTAGAAGGACCTTGAGGGGCTGGAGCGTGGCCAGAGAAGGGCAACGGAGCTGCTGGGGAAGGGTCTAGAGCCCAAGTGTGGGGAGGAGCAGCTGAGGGAGCTGGGGGTGCTGAGCCTGGAGCAAAGGAGGCTCAGGGGAGACCTTCTGGCTCTGCACAGCTCCTGACAGGAGCCTGGAGCCAGGGGGGGGTCGGGCTCTGCTCCCAAGGAACAAGCCACAGGACAAGAGGAAAGGGCCTCAAGTTGCCCCAAGGGAGGTTGAGATTGGCCCTGAGGAACAATTTCTTGCCCTGGAGGGTTGCCCAGGGCTGTGCCAGGCTGCCCAGGGCAGTGGTGGAGTCCCCACCCCTGGAGGG